TGTGTGTGTGTGTGTGTGTGTGTGTGTGTGTGTGTGTGTGTGTGTGTGTGTGTGTGTGAATCCAGCAGACAGTCTGCAGCCTCTGATGTGGTTGTTCCCCGTGTTCCACTTCACAGTTCTTCTTGAAGCACCCTCTGTTCTTGGCTCTAAAATGCCCCTCCCTGCTGGCTTCTGACCAGTCAGCTGACTGCACAGGGTCCTCTCTGTGACCTCATGCTGGCAGTGAAAACCTCTTCTCTCTCTTCAGACTTCCACCACTATGACAGCACAGTGGCGAGCTGCGCTCCCTAACACACCAGTGTCCAGCAGGGGCCATCATCATCTTGTGTCTTCAGACTCATCAGCTCAACATGCCCTCCGTGTCACCCACAGCATCCCCATGCTCCTCACATCCGAAAGGCATCCTTGGTCTTCCCCAATGGCCCTCCTCTCTGTAAACAGTCAGGTATCTGCCCGCTACGGGCCACACTCACTCTGTCTTAATCACCAAACCCCTCCGGCTCACTCTTCCCAGGGGCCCGTGCTCCAGGGCTTCCCCTTTCAGATCCTTCACAGCAGAGGCAGGATGGCATTCTGAGCTACAGACTCTGACTACAGGACGTCTCTCTCATTCCCTTGCCTAAAAATGGCACCGAGTCCACTCAACTCTTAATAACATACAGTTGGTTCATCCTCCACCAACTTTATCTGAAACTCTGAAGCTTCCTTGCTGGGTTCTGCTACCTAGCTTTGTTTCAATCACTGGGATCCACTGAGCTCTGCTTTGCTTTCAGGGCCTTCTGCATGCTGGTCCATCACCCTAAAATGTCATTCTCCCATACTTCACAAGAGGTCCTCATTTTAATGCTTCCCATAATTCCTAGCCCTAACTCAGTAGATCTTCCCATTTATTTCCTACTTAGACCTCCTCATATTTTTCTATAACACTTTGTATCTTATAATCACTTCTTTAATTCTTAGTCTTTGCTATCCAAGCCTAAACTCCCCAAGACTAGGAATTACATTTTACTAACAGATGAATCCAGAATTCAGAACCGTGAGGAACAGATATCAGGTTTTCACACTAAATGTGTTCAACAAGTAAATGAACGAGGCTTTCAAGAGTCACGTGTCCCCTCCACCTTCACTGCTCTGGTTGAGGCTTAGGTGACTTCCCACGGCCTGGCCACCTGGCTGTTCTGTCTTCTTCCCCCTGTCTGGAGAGGACAGACAGGCGAGTCTTCCAGTCCGGCTTGTTCCTTGTGAACCTCTTGAGTGTTACCAACGTGTTTGGCACACCTCAGCCTGTCCAGCTCCCAGAACAACAGGTGCTAACGAACATGCTGACTGGATGGGCTCCGAGCTCTGGAGGAAACAGGATATGAACAGGAAGGGACTTGTTGCAATAATGGAGGAGGTTAATCTAAGGCAAAAGTGCAAAAAAAAAAACAAAAAAAAACAAAAAAAAACGGCTTCAGCTTCCCGGAACCTTTATCATCTCCATTTGCACGCTCTTTAAAGGAGAGTGGAAAAGTTACTTACAATTTTTATTGCATTCATTTAGCAAGGGATAAATAAACACAGTTAGGGGCTGCGATAAGATACTGATCACAAGAAAAAGTGCTGAGCTATTAAGTCAAATTCCTTGTAAGAAAATAGTGAATAAAAGCATTTCCATCTTCAGAACAAACAAAGGGAACCTTAAAATAATACATGTAAGTCAAACAACAAGGATGCTAAGACCCTAACCTTGACTCTCTCAATCCAAATCCTGCACCATTAACTTAAATACAAATAAGACTACATCTATTCCAAGCCGGGTAAAGTGGCACACATCTGTAATAACATGGCACCCAGAAGACAGAGCTGGAGGAATGCTATAAATTCAAGGGCAGCCTGTTCTACCAGCGGATTCCAGGCCAGTCAAGGCTGTCCAGTGACTCTCAAAGGGCAGGAAAGAAGAGCAGGAGAAAGAGATGAAAGGGGGCAGGGAAAAAAAGAGAAAAGGAAAAAAGAAAAAAGAGAGAGAAAGGCATATCGCGATCCCAATTCTATCTTGCACAAGGATTCTGTTCTGAAGGACGTCTAATCTATGGGTATTATTTGGGACATAAAGAAGTCCAAGACCTTGACCCTTTAAGTATGTTCGGGGATCTGGCAATCCTAAGAGTGTAGCTGACATGCTTTGTAGAAGCAAAAGAAACCCAGTGTTGTCTGAGGACTTGGTCAGCTTGAACTTTAGGTTCTTCATTCCTCCAGTTCTGTAGCTCATCCAGCTGGTGCCAGGAGGATTAGCTTAGCTCCACCCCATGGGGAGAATGGTTAATCTTCCTGATCAGGAAATGTGCTGCTAAACTGAAAGAGGCTAAAGTGTAGGCTGGGTGGGCCTACCACCAGGCCCTGGTGAAATCAATGACGGGGGTGTCTTAGCACAAAGTTTAGTTCAAAGCAGCCAAGGACAGGGTGTGTCAAAGTGGGCTTTGAGTCCCTGTGGCTTTGGCTGTTTGTTCGGCATTTTATATGTTTATCTTTCTGCTAGACACACTTATTGAGTCATCTCTATTAAATGGCTATTGAGGTTAAAGAACAGCTCTGTAAGTCCACCATACAGAAGAGACAGGCCGTTCATCCTCTGCGGCCGAACATTCTCCAGTCAAAACAAACGCTTGCCCTCCCTTCTCACTTTGTGAACAAGATACTCTGTCCATTTATCAGAAGAAGAACCATCAAACAGTACAAGTAAAGGAAGACCCGTGGTGGTCATTACATTTTTAATAATGCTTAATATTGTTGCAAACTGAAAATGAAGCGTCCGTTTACCGAAAAGTATTGTCAGGCCTCCAAATCACTGACGGTGAATGTATGTGGTCACCAGAGTAAGAGTAATTATGTTAATCAGATAAACACATTAAATTTCTAACTCTTAGAGGGAGTAGGGGAAAACACATAGCTCTGTAAAGTAGGTAAGTTCACAGAATACTGTTTGGGTTTCCACAGAAATTGTTCGAGCCATGACACACGTGATCAACCAGGGCATGGCAATGTACTGGGGCACCTCGAGGTGGAGCGCGATGGAGATCATGGTGAGCTAATTTCTAGTTTTAATAGCTGCTGGGCACCACGTCATTATTTTTTAGATACCATGTTTAAATTGCAATCTCTTCTGCAGACTTTTCTCACAGTACCATGGCGCTGGAATTCTAGGATCTGTTCCATCATTAGGGAGACGGCTCGCAGGGCTGGAGCCCAGCAGTTTAGAATAAACCCAAGGGGCCAGATCTCCAATAGGAATATGTTTTAGCATGTTCTTTGCTGGCAAAAAAGGCAGAGAGAACTTCAACGCTAATGAGATATGGGAATAGAGACTTCTAGCTTTCTTACAGTCAGCTTGTTGGAAATTATTCTGCTCATAACATGCCACTTAGAGTCCACTTCTTTCTGGGTGTTTATCCAAGTTTTATTTAAGAACCTAACCATATTCAGATAAAATCTTCTTCACAGTAAACAATTCAAGCTTTGACTAATTCGCCCCAGACTTTACTCAGTCTAACCCTCCCAAAGAACAATACAAATTTCTCACGCTGGGTACCTCTCTTGGTGACGCTTCTGATCAGAGCTTTGCATGTGCCTGGCTTATTTCTTTGCTCCTCATTTACTGCACTGAAATACACGTGCCCCGTGGAAATGAATCGCATGAAGCTCCAGTGCTCGCCAGTGGAAGCTCAGCTGCAATCTCTTCTGTTCCCTAGGAGGCCTATTCTGTCGCGCGACAGTTCAACATGATCCCACCCGTCTGTGAACAAGCCGAGTACCATCTTTTCCAGAGAGAGAAGGTGGAGGTCCAGCTGCCAGAGCTCTACCATAAAATAGGTAACCTTCAAAATCACATCTGATCATTCTTCACAACATGAGGATCAATGACTGGGGGAAGGGGCATGTCAGGAAAATGCTTTCCCAAGGCTTCCTAATTAATATAACACAGAGATTACAAGAACCAAGCATCTCAGAGACTGTGGCAAAATCAGCTGGTCTACAGGTATGGTGACGACAATCACAGAGTTGTAAACTGACCGTCGTAGATGCGCTCAGCAAGGGTTCAAAAGTGCACACACAAAGTGGATTCAGCGGATAAACTCGATTTGCATGGGTGCTTGCTCTAGCATAAACATGCATCGGTGAGGAGACTGGGTAACCTTTCCAAAGCATACAGATGTCCACATATCTCTCGTACTGCGCCCGGGACCGGGTAAGATAGAAGGAATTCAACAAGTAACAAGTCAGGACAAGTGAACTGTGTGGAAGCATGGCTGGGGTGGGGATATAGAGACAACACAAACACAAGAAATTTGGATATTAGAAATATCAATAAGCCACATTCTTCACAATATGATAATCAATGATTGGGGGGGGGCTAGGAAAATGCTCTCCCAATGTTCCTGATTAATGTAATAGAGAGATGACAAGAAGAAGGCTTATATGCCAAAGCCATTTCCAAAGATTACTTTTTCCAAATGCTGAATCAAAAACAACACAAACTCAACAACAGCTGGTGCTGTTTCTGTCATGTGCCAGGCATTTGCCATGTGCCAGGCTGTGCTCCTGCTAAGTGCCAGGTACCATCAGGCACTGGTGGACAAGTAAAACCCTGGCTCTCTTTGTAAGTAGAAGCTCTTATCTCTTGGTCTATGAATTGTGGCCATGAGAAGGTCATGAATAAGGCATATTTTCGGGTTCACTTCTATGGCTCACTCCCAGGAACAGACAGTACATGTTTAATTGGTTTATAAAAGAATAAGGCACAATTTGTAAGTCCTAAGCTGTAATGGAAAGACGGATGCTGGTATTAACTCATTTATCTGGCCAGTTTTCCTCTAGAACTGACACAGCTCTGTTTAAACACACCCTCACTTTTGGTCCCACTTGGCACAAGCAATTTTCTGCAACTGTGCTGTTTTTCCCCACAGGGGTTGGTGCAATGACATGGTCTCCGCTTGCCTGTGGAATTATTTCTGGAAAATACGGAAATGGGGTGCCAGAAAGTTCTAGAGCTTCGCTGAAGGTATTGTCCTCAACTTTTAAGAAAGTCTCAGGGAGGGCAGAAGGGAAGAAGATGGATGAGAAGGAGCAGAGCCTGGGCCAGGGCTTCCCAGCTTAAGCACACTGCGGCCTTGGCCTGCCATGGCCTCTACCAGGGCCCCCTAGCATGCCCAGGTCTCTGCTGCTGGCGACAGATCAGTCAGCCCTTCATAATCTGCCTGCACAGAGAATTTGTCTCTAAGGAGAGACAGAAAAGTGTCCAGTGACTTGCAGACTCAAATCCCTACATTCTTACCTATTCTTATATTAAAGGAGGTATTTCATTCCTTGTCTAGAAGTGACAAAATGTAAAATCCCTTTTCTGTCTAAGAGGATTTAATTTTCCTTTTCTGAGAAAACAAAACTTAACCCATAAGGGCTTAATCCATTTGAGGGAAACAGCTGTAGCTGAGTAAGGCTTGAGGTTGGCTTACATTTCCTACTGCATTTGGGAACTGGGTAAAGAAAGAAAGAGGGCCTCAGGAGATAGAAACTGAACACATCATAGTCTCCACCCTGCCCAGTGGGTATTTTTTTTTTCAACTCAATATGTATTGTACAACGTGGTGGATTTCTTAAAGGCATTTTGTTCAGCTGCATCATATTCTTCAACCGCATTCACTCCTCATTGCCCAGCCCCAGCTTAGGCCCCTTCCTGATGATTAACAGTAATCACAATTACTCTATAATATCAAGGGAGAGAGAATACAGGAATCTTAAAATTCAGACAAGCCAAAATCATCTTAAGAAGCACACGCCTGACCCAGGCTCCAGCTTCCATTAGCATTGAACCAGCAGAATAGTCCAAGCCAAGCCCAGTCCTTTACCAGAGGAGTTGGGAGTGTGTGTGTGTGTGTGTGTGTGTGTGTGTGTGTGTGTGTGTGTGTGTTGGGGTGGGGGGAACACCCACATGGATGGGACAGGACAACTGCTCAGAGACAGTTCCCTAACTAGACTTTTCCCAAGGCTCTAGGCCTTTCTTACTACACGAGTTCAGCTCTTGGCTTGTTTGTCCTCTAGACTCACAGGATATAAATATCCCCCAAGCATGCTGACATGACAGCGTTCTCGAGTTTTAATTGCCCCAAAGTACAGTTATCTCGGAATATTTAATGAGATCTTGTTCCTGAAAACTGAAGGTCGTTCATAACAAATTCTAAACAAGAACATGAGGAAAAGCTAAGGGCATCTTAGGCAAGGATGTGAAGGAGGGGGAAGGCAAGAAAGGCGTGGAGGAAAAGGAAGCACCAGGAACACCTACTGTGCGTCACGCAGAGAGCTGTGAGCCACCTTTCACTGCCTTTCAGTTTCACAATGAGAAATAACACAGATAGCTTGCAGTCAGTTGTGGCTAACCTAAACTGCTACGTAGACACTCCTCTACTTATGAAGGGGCAATGCCCAGATAAGCAAACTAAATTCGAAATATCCTGTCAAAATGCACTCATTATGGCTAACCTACTTAATATCATAGCTTAGTCTAACCTTATCATAAAAAATGAAAAAAAAACTAATACAAATCCTTTTTATGCTAAAGAGTTGACTATCTCATGTAATTTACTGAACATTGAACTGAAAGTGAAAAAGAGGTTGCATTGATACAACCTTTACATATCAGTAAGAAAATCCTAAGTCAAACAATATTAAGCTGGAGACCATCTGTATATTCTTTCATAGGCTTTCCAAAAAATTCAAAGCACTTCACATATGTGGTCTATTTGTTCTCAGAGTAATCCTGCAAGAGGCAGGCAGAAACTGAAGTCCAAGGACATTAAGCAACATTAAGACCATAAACTCCTAACAGATAAAGTTAAGTGAGGACCCGGGCCTCCTGCTGTCAGTGAATAATCTTCCCTGAAGTCATCTGTTTCCTTTCACACCCAGGTCTTTAAAGGAAGCGGTAGTTGTGTTGTGTCTGGTTGGTATGACTGCAGCCGCTAACACTGTTTGATAAAAGCTCACACACTGATGAAAAATGTCCACAAATGCACTAACAAAAGTAGGAAAGGGGTGGGGAGATGTACAAAGTGTCTGACTGTGGTCAAGTCCAAAAGTAACTGGGAAATGTATGGCTGTGTTTCACAAAGTCGATCAAGTAGGCACTACTGGAATATTAACAGGAATTGTTTAGAACATGCCCAAGAGCAAGGTCTGTAAAGTGTCAGACTCTGCACTATCAACAAGTGTTTTCTGAGCGACATGCCTGTTCTTGGGAAAACCATTTAAGCAGAACTGCCAAAGTGAAAGATGAAAATGAAAATGAAAGAAGCAAATGGAAGGGCATCCTCAGGACTAAGTTATAGTATAGTGCTAACAGAAAAATTTGAGACAAGCGGACAGATACATTGGCAACCTTTAACACAGCCCTCCAAATGGTTCATATAACACTGTCTGTTGTTATTATCAACAAAATGCTAATGCTTTGTGCCTGCTATATTGAACTAAAATTGAAGAATCAATCATTCTTTAAAAATGACTCTCCAGGGCTCTTGCAGTAAACAAGATTAGCCAGGGAATTTTCTTTGTAGGCTCTTCTGGCTGACCCTGTCCCTCTAACAATGACTTCTAACTGCATGCCACCAACTCTGACTCCACTGTTGAGAAGCAAACCACTTCTTCCAGTCTAATAGATGTTCCATGGGTACCAACCTGTCAAGCCTAATAGAATCTACTCTACACACCCTTCTGCTCAAACTTGACTCTCCTTTAGCTCAGCCCAAGATCTAGCCATCCTGGTCAGATGTTATAGTGCTATCTCAAATCACGACCTTTTCATCCTCACCCTGCCTAGCAGGACTCCTCCATACAGCATCCTGCCAGCCAGGTCCACTCCACACAGCCCCACTAGGTCTTCATCTTCCCTTTCCAGGTTACTGCAGGAGTGAACTCGATGCTTTCCCTCCATCCCTCTTCCCAACAATCCGCCCTGTGGCTAATTATCTTTCTAAGAGACCATATCGCAATCCACTTCAAAATGCTTCCCTGACTTGCCAGCTTACTGGATAAATCCCAAATCCTCTTGGAATCTAAGTCAAGTCTATTTTCCCATTCTCACCTCTCCTAGCCCACATTATTTCATTTCCCACCCAAATGCACTGCACTCCATTTGCCTCCCAGACGTGCTCTTCTCATTCTGCTGTGGTTCTGCCATCTTGTCCTTATGAACAAAGCCTGTAGCTTAATGAAGTTACTGAGTTATCTGTACTTTCCTCTATGTATCCCATCAACACTTCTTACAGAGGCTGGAGCTCCCTGGCTGCCAGTGGCAGACCTCAGTGTGAACAACCTCATTCTGAGAACTCTGCTGCCACAAAGACAATCCTCGAGGGTGGGGTGGGCATGGCTCAGTAGCCATCTGTCCATGGACTGGAACACGGTCAGCCCTCCTCTATTTATCTCCAATATGAATATGTCATTTTCTTCCACTCCGCATGAATCTTGCCAGTGAAGCTGGGAGCAGCAAAACTGACAGCCACGTCCTTAAGAGAATGTATCCTAGAAGAAAAGAGATCTTTTATTCATTGGCTTCAGACCAGAAAAGAACAGCCAAAGCTGGCAATGTCCAACCTGTGAGACCAGCAACAGTCTTAAACAGAGAGAAACGGTCTCAAACAGAAAGAGCTGAGCAAATCACTTTGCTCAGCTCAGTCCTACACCACTTTGTTGGAGGATTTTCCAGAAAGCAGGTGCTACAAACACGGCTTGTGAGATTATTGAAGCACGAAGGTCACTCATTGACGAAACACTTCAGTTCCCAGATACTGACTTGTGGATGCTTCTAGGACAGGAACTAAAACCCTCTAACCCATCACAGAGTCTAGCACAATTCAATACATGCTGAATGAACATGATAACCCAAAATGTAAGATAAATTAATTAGTACTTTGGCAAATATTACTGTCTGTGTTGGTCACTTTGGGATATAGAGACCAGTTGGATAACCCCAATATTCAAGAAGTACCTCAGGGGCTTCCACAGAGACGCACATGTGAAGGGGACCAAGAAGGAGCAACAGAATCCCCAGCACTGTGCCTCCTATCCCACAGTGGTGACCATATTCACCATCAACCTTCTTGCAAAACACGGGGTCACTTTCATTATTAATATTTTACTTAGATTTCATCTCTTCCCACTGTTAACATGTTCCTATTTGAAAGGAAGTTAAAGCTGCTTATTCCAAAAGACCTGTTTCCTTTGGACTAGGAAAGCAGTATAAACACTGTACTTTTTTAAAACCCTAACTCCCCATACACTCCACTAATTATGGCAACAGTGAAACGTGTAGTTAGACGTATATTGAGAGTCAGAAGAGAAGGACGCTGTAAAGCCTATGTTTATGCATGTGAGTGTGGGCACACACATACTACTGTGCATATGTGGCAGTCCTGTGCCTGTCTTTGCCTTCCCTTCTACAAGGCAGGCTCTCTTCTTTGTTGCTTACTCCTCTCTATTCAGGCTAGTTGGCCCATGAAGTTCTGGAACGTTCCTGTCTCTGCCACCCATATCACTGTAGAAGTGTGTGAACTACAGGCACACAAACCATTGCCCGTTTTGCATGGGTGCTGGGGAATCCAAGCTCAGGGCTTCAGTGCAGCAAGCACTGTACCCACTGGTTGTTTTTACAAGTCTTTCAATATGACTGGTATACGTGCATATCACACACACACACACACACACACACACACAGAGTGTATTTCAATCTTAAGAAAAAGATTTTTACATACAATATTTCAAAAAAAGAGAGTAGTTCTATAAAACTGATAAAAAAAACCCCTTTTTTTTTGTTTTGTTTTGTTTTTCAAGACAGGGTTTCTCTGTGTAGCCTTGAATGTCCTGGAACTCACTCTGTAGACCAGGCTGGCCCAGACTGGCCTCAAACTCACAGAGATCTGCCTGCCTCTGCCTCTCAGTGCTGGGATTACAGGGATGTGCCACCACCGCCCATCATTAAATCAAGCATTCCTAATGTATGTGATACATATTGAAATCTCATAAACTCTATGTTTTGGAAATTGTTCAAAAGCATTTGTCTATTACTTCCTCACTTGTGTTCGAATCACGCTCAGAGATACTGTTTCCCTGAAAGATCGTGAAATTATGAAATTTAGGTAAGGATTAATGGTACTTTCCCACACCCCACAGCTCTTCAGGGATGTCTGACAATGGTAGCACCCTGACTCAAGGCTGCCTGGGCCCTAATCATGTGCTTGCTGTCCACAGCCATTAACCCCAGCACTGGCACCAGCTGTCACCTCTGAACATGTTACTTCAGGCATGCTTCCTCTGGAAGAATCAGAGACATCCCAGTGCTGAAGCTAGGAACGCCTTGGCCATTTCCCCAAGCAAAGTCCCCAGTGAGGAGCCAGACCATAAGCCTTTGGTGTCTAGGAGCAGACAGAACTGGGGCAGCTTGCCCTTCTCTTTTTCACATCTGTGAAAATTATTCCAAAAATCACAATAAAACATAATGTGATTAGCCCTTTCTTTGGAAATTCTTAGAGTGATGAGAAAACACTATTGAAATCACTGGAAGAGTGCCTATGGCCACTGCTAGCTACACAGCTTCCTGCTGCCTCTAAGATTCTGATCCATGGGTGCAAGGAAAGAGGACGGTCCTTGCGGACCCTCAGTCCTTCCCTTCAGCCACTGCTGGTCAGTGCGAGCCTTGTCTATCCAAGGATTAATTCCCATCTCCTGCAAGAGCAGAGCCTTCTGCCAAGTAGGACTGGGAGAAATTCCCCAAAGCCCTTTCATATTTGGGAAAGTAAACTCAATAGTCTACAGGTCATGGTCAGTCTTTTTCCATGTTTTAAAAAGTAGTTTTCTGGGTTGTCTTTTAAAATCTTACTCTACTGATTCTAATCTGTGGCATCAAAACACAAAGTCCCCATAATAATATCATTATTATCGTAATTATTATAATTATCATATTATTATATTAGGGAGCTGGAGAGATGGTCCAGTGATTAAAAACACTTGCTGCTCAGGCTGAGAACCTGAGTTTAGTCCCCAGAACCCATATTGGGTAACTCATAACTGCCTGTTACTCCAGGATCTAACATCCTCTTACAGCCTCAAAGGGCACTGGCACACATATGCACAAAAGCAAAAATAAAATGGTTTAAAATAACAATGAAGTTAGGGATGGAATAAGGCAAAAGAGATGACAGTTATTACAATAATGTAAAACAACGATCTTCAGGGATCAGAAAACTCTCTTGACACAAAGGTCGGTCAGTGTGTGTGTGTGTGTGTGTGTGTGTGTGAGAGAGAGAGAGAGAGAGAGAGAGAGAGAGAGAGAGAGAGCATGCCACATGAGTTCAGTTGCCCTTGGAGGCCTTTTTTCATCTTACATACCAATCCCAGTTCCCACTCCCTCCTCTCCTCCAATTACCTTTACCTACCTCCCCCACCCCACCCCCATTCACTCCTCAGGGAGAGTAAGACACGTAGCTTTGGGGAAGGCCCTCCCTACTATATCTAGGTTGAGCAAGGTATCCATCCAAAGAGAGTAAGTTCCCAAAAAGGCAATTCAAGCAGTAGGGAAAAATCCTGGTACCACTGCAAGTGGCCCTGCTGTCTGCCCAGCCATGCAACTGTCATCCCTATTCAGAGGGTCTAGTTTGGTCCTATGCTGGTTTCTTCCTCGTCCAGTTGGAGTTTGTGAGCTCCCATTAGCACAGGTAAACTGATTTAGTGGATGTCCCCATCAGGGTCTTGGCTTCTTTGTTCATATTCTCACTCCTCCCACTCTTTGGACTTTGGGAGCTCAGCCCAATGGAGTGAGAGTTATACGTGGTTGTGGGCGTTGGAAATCAAACTCATGCCCTCTGAGAGAGCGAAAGACACACATAACTGATGAGTCCTCTCTCCAGCCTCGCCCTGAGGGTCTTAAATTTTATTGAATGAACAGCATTTGACTTTGTACCCATACAAGACACTACTGCTTACGTGCTGCTGTTATCCACAGTGCTACCAGTGGCTGAAGGAAAGAATTGTAAGTGAAGAAGGCAGAAAACAGCAGAACAAGCTAAAAGACCTTTCTCCGATTGCTGAGCGCCTGGGATGCACCCTACCTCAGCTGGCTGTGGGTAAGGAAAGGGCTGGGGATGGCAGAGCAGGCCTGGAACGGGGGGACTTTCATTGAGATGACTAAAAATGGACTTTTCAATGGCTGACCGACACCCTGCCATGGTCACATGGGGCAGGCTGATCTCAGAAGCATCAATTCTGGAACATGCAACAGAAAGGGAGTTATTCAAGATTTTCCCGAATGAATTTTCTATGTCACAACGTTTTTTCTTTCCCTTCTCCTGTATAAGACAATTGCATAAAATACAAAGAGAAAACAGAGTTAGGTGGGCAGAGAGATAGGGAAGACCTGGGAGGAGTTGGAAGGGGAAAATTATAAAGATGTATAGAAAAATCTAAAAGACAAAAGACAGATATTCAAGTGTCTGAGGTGAGCTGTGTCATGACACAGTTGCACCCATTTCTTCCGACAAGCTCCTACCCCTGCTGACGCTGAGACAAGGCTGGTGAGAGCTTGAGAAACTGGGCTTCACAGAGGCCCGTGGCTCTTGCACACTGAAAGCTGACACCGACACCGCAAGGGCAGCTCCCCCTGGAAACTTTTCAACAGCCATGAAAATTGTTCTTCTCATGCTGTGTCGTCCGTGAAAGGTCACGGCCGCCCAAAACCACATGCACTGGCACTGTCCACTAAAACATAATGGGAAATACTTATTTCGTCTCAAATTTGCCAATGGCCATATTAAGAAAGCAAAACAGGAACTGAAAGGATGGCTCAGTGGTTAAGACTGCTCACTGCTCCTCCAGAACCCTGGCTCACAAATGTCACTGGATGATTTACTACCACTGGCATGGTAACTAAGAATTAAGGAGTAAAATAGGTGTTAATTCCAAAGGGGGAAAGTCTAATAAGAAACAGCAGCAGATCAGATACGCTGACCTAGAGAGATAAACAGGCCAGGGTAAGGCCTCTGCAAAGAAGTGGTATTTTTGATAGCTTGGTTCTGTTGAGGTTAGAAATTTAAAAATTACAGCAAATAGCATTAGAAAAATGGAAATGAAGGTTGGAAAGATGGCCCGCTGGGTAGAGGCACTCAGTTCCAAGGCTAACAATCTGGGTCTGATCTCCATCTCCAGAGGCCATAGAGCGTATTTACATAGAACCAGGCATACTGGGTTTGAGCTTTTCTTAACACACACAAGAAAATGTATCTACTATATAAAAAAATAAGATTTTAGGCGGCAACATGAATTGAGTACACTTGGCCTTCCATATTCACAAAGTCAACCAACCATTTACATTATAACAGGCATTATAAGTAATATGGAGATGACTTAAAGAATACAGGAGAATGTGTATGCAAATGTCATGCCATTTTAAAAAACAGAACTGAACAAAAGAAACAGAATTGAGTGTGTCTACATCGTAGGGAGGATGGAACCAATTCCCCACAAATATCAAGATGATTATATTAAAGTCTAAAAGAAATAGAAAAACATTATCTTCCTAAAGAGGACTTTCTCTGGAAGTTAGATATTCATGACATACCCATTGTACAGAGTGTGGGTTTAAATTGATAGATGCTGGGTTTTCCTCCCTCTATGCCTTAGATCAATGATCCTCAACCTGTGGGTCGCAAAGGATCCTCCCTTGGGTCCAAGAGAGCTATTCACAGGGGCTGCAAGTCCAGTACCCTGAATATCTTATATTTACATCACAATTCATAACAGCAGCAAACTAGTTATGAAGCAGACGCAAAACTAATTTTGTTGGGGGGTCACAACAACAGAGGGAACTGTACGAAGGGGTCACAGCATTAGGAAAGCTGAGAACTACTTCCATAGACGCTTTTTCTTGCCCGCCATCTTTCCTTTCAGACAAGCAGCTGTTTTTATTCACAGAATTCTCAGACCCCCAAAGGAATGATTTCCAGACTCATTGCCTCTGATCTCCAAGGACACAGCGTGACTAGGGGAAGGGAGGCTTCCAACAGGAAACAGACTGCTCGGGTCTGCATGGTGCTCCCGGTTGCACACATGCCCAGGAGCCAGCACTCAGCTCACTGGCAGCTCACAGGCACCACGGATGTGCTTGCCAGTGATACCTAGTGAGACAGGCTGATTAGGAAGAAACAGCTGCAGGTGCAACCCATGGCCAGCTCTGCAAAGCGGGTTCTCTTAGCCCAGCAGTCCTAGGAGGAATCAGGCGTTGCTGAAATCAGTTCACTGCCTTGCACTGAACTTCCACTTGTTCCGAAAGGGATTCTAAGTGCAAAGCAGAAGGTAATAAAGCCAAGGCAGGGGGGAAAAGGAGAGGGAGGAGTGATGAAATGACCACCTGGAAGGACTCAGTGATTGCCTCAATGGCCAGCTTGCATCCTTGAGGACCAGCTGACAGCAGGGTCTTGAGGAAAAGGAGGCAAATGTGCTGGAGATGAATCAAGTATCTATGCCTGTTTCTCCAGTAAACATTTAATAAGTGTGTCCTATGTGCCAGGTATAGAGTGGGTTGCTAAGCATCCAATTCAAGATAGTCACATCCCACAGCGTAACGGGCAAGTCAAGAAAATTAATAGACGTGAGTACAGAGTTTACAGTTTTGGATATGGGGCTAGGGAATTCACGTGTAGAGCCCCCATGCTGGCCTTCTGAAGGTTTTCTGAAGAATACAGGACTGCTAGGAACCTCAAAGGATGAGATGTTAATGAGGCAAAGGAAATGTGAGGGCAAAAGTGCATTCTGGGCAAAGGGCTCCCAGAGAAGGAAAAATCACTCATGTTTAGGGAAAAAGAGATTAACGAAGCAGTGTTCTGGAAGCACAAAAGTCCAGGCAGGGAACCTTGAAGCTGGAGTGGCAGAATCGAAAATAAGATGGCCAGGGTAAGAAATGCACGTCATCTTAAAGGAAAGTGAGCTTGTCCCGCACAACTGAAATCAGCAAAGTGATGTTAGAGTAGCTGTGGCTAGGAGTAAGGTCTGTACTGAGAGAGGGGCAGCCAGCCCAAGCATAATGTAGGAACACCAGTGAGTCTAGGGAGAGCTACTGAGGGCAGAAGGAGGAGAGCAGCAGCAGCAGAGGGAAGAAGCCCAGCCACAAAACACTCTGCAGCAAGGAAAGCAAACACCGCTACACCGTGGAATCACGAGACTATGTGCACAGGAGGTGAAGGAAAGCCAAGACAAAAGGCAATGCCTTTATTCTATTTAAACGAAATGTTCAGGAAGACAGATCTAAAAACAAGGAGTAAGTACTTGCCTACGGTTGAAGTAGGACTAGGTATCAATTAATGCCTGTAGGCATGAGGGATTCTATTAGGGTGATGGGAATATTCTACTAAAACTGAATTTAAAATAGTAACGGTTACACACTAAAATTGCCAAGGGCTGGTAAACTTTTTTAAAGGATAGCTAATGTATACTTTAAAACAGATACAATTCTTTTTGATATGTAATTTCCACCTCAATAATGCCTTTCCTTCCCTTTCCCTTTAAAGTTTAAATTCCTAGGCTGGAAATACAGTTGAGTTGGCAGAGTGCTTGCCCAACATTCAGAAGGCCCTGAGTTTGGGTTTCAAGAGCATACAAACCTCGGATGGTAGCACACGCCCCTAATCCCAGGACTCAGGAGGTAGGGACAGTGAATCAGAAGTTTAATGTCATCCTTGAGCTACAAAGAAAGTTCTAGGTCAGCTTGAACAAAAACAAGAAAGAAAAAAAGTTATCTAGTAAGTATTTAAAAGCATGTATCTCAAGTGAAGACCTTCTAAGTAAAACGTGTTTTGTGGGGCACAGAAAGGGCGCATTACCAGCCCCCACGTAACTCTCTGTTACATGCTAAGAATAAGAACCGGTGGGTTAGAGGAACTGCAGGATAAACAACTAGACACGGAATTTAAAAGGGAAGGTAGAATTGGGAATAGACAATCCCTAAAGACCCCAGACTTCGGGCTGGAGAGATGGCTCAGTGGGTAAGAGCACTGCTTGCTCTTCTAAAGGTCCTGAGTTCAATTCCCAGCAACCACATGGTGGCTCACAACCATCTGTAATAAGATCTGGTGCCCGCTTCTGGCCTGCAGGCATACAATCAGACAGAACGCTATACATAATAAATAAGTCTTAAAAAAAGAGGAAAAAAAAAAGACCCCAGACTTCTAGACGCTGAGAGTCAAATGAGACTGACTGGCCAAGCAAGGCAGTAAGAGGCATTCGCTGTCCTAAGATCCAGCAGAAATGTAGATCCATGCTAGGCTGTTCACTGTAACCAGGAGATTCCTGGGGGCCTTGGCTTCCAGAGCAAGGGTAAGCAAGGGACTGGACCATGATGAAGGGGAATACAGGAGTCTAAACTGACCTTCCAGAAGTTTCAAAAGTTGGAGAAGTGTCCAGAAAAATATAGTCAAAGGCCATCTATTTTAGAGCAAAAGAGAACTGAGTATTCTCGGTAGACAAAGAAAAATAAGAAACGACACTCAAGGGACAGAGGAATAATGTTTAATTAATCCAAGATAAGGAAAATAGATTCAGGACACTGTGGCCCTAGGCCAAAATAGCATTCAACCTCTTCTGCAACCTGACAATATCACTGTGAAAACTAAGTAAATAGAAAAACGAGAAATATTCTATCTGGTGGATTTAATATTATAGATGAAGTCCAAGGAAAGTGAACTGAGTGTTCACTAAGAGTGAACACAGGGCTTTAGGGTAGAGATCCTGGCAACATTGTTGCCCGCGCCTGCAATTCCGGAGTAAAATCAGTTCAAGGTCATCCCAGGCTGCTCAACAAGCTGGAGGCCAGCCTGGGCTACAAGAGGCCCTGTCTCAAAAACAACCGCAAACAGCACCAAAATAGAATAGACCTTTTACCATTTAGGAAAAAGAGATGGCCAAGGGTCAAGAGAGGTTTAGTTGGCTAAGGCCCAATGGCAAGATGGCAGAGGAGATGGGAACATGTGAGGCACTGAACCACAAGATTCTGTGGTTCTCTCCAGAACACTCCACTACCTCCAGTAGAAAACACACGGTCGGTTTTGATGGGATGTGCAGAGAAGGATTGGGGCTTTGAGAGTTGGTTTTTTAAAAAGAAGCAATTGAGATAAGCAATGGGCAAGGACAGAAGAGGAAAAGTGACAGAGGAGATACGACAGAAGGGGCGCCTGACAGAAACTAGGACCAGACACGACCAGTCGGTGAGCAGTGCCGGGTATTTTCAGGACCAAGGTACTCCTATGTAGCTAGCTGTACTGGATAATCCGGTACCTGAGGCAAAACACAAGAAAGCCAGAGAGAACAAACCTATTATTCAAACGCATAGACTGATTTCATCAAGTCTCTGAACAAGCGAGGTGAGGTGTTGTCCCAGTTTTAAACCCCAGAGAACACTGTGTATCCTCCACCCCTCACCACCACCAGATACACAGAGGTCAGTAAATTCTGGCTACACATAACTGTACCTGATGCTTCTAAGTTCACCAATAATCCTGACCCAGTGCTCTGCTCTTTTCAGCGTGGTGCCTGAGAAATGAGGGTGTGAGTTCTGTGCTCCTGGGATCATCCACTCCCGAGCAACTCATTGAAAACCTCGGTGCCATTCAGGCAAGTATTGCGGCCCTTCCCGGCAAACTCCAGGCATGCTACAGTGTGTCCCCAGGCAGTGTCCTGGACAGCGTATTGGGGGGCAGGGAGCTGTAAGCCGCAACAGCGCGCTTACAATACATGGGCTCTAGGGCTGTCCTCTGCTTATTTAACAAACACATTTCTCGGATTCCACAGTGGTTCATTTTTTTTGTGGGGCAGGGCATTCCAATGTCAAACCCGGCAAATGACCTCCTAGGTCTAGCCACGGAAGCATGTTCAACTGCCCTCTTGAGTATGTAACACTTGTAAGACAATATGCACACATCATTTGTTCATTTGTTCCTGTCACAAACTACTGCCAGCCTACCACATCGACTTACGCCTTTCCGGTCATCTGACGGCATCCTGGGATACCCACTCATCTTACCAGTTAGGATAAGATGTGTGATAACTGCTTGTCCCCTCTGCCGGACCGGAAGGCTGAAGATCAGACCTAAGGCTCTCTTCTCCACTGATTTCCCACTTCCTACTACGTGGCCCTAGTTATTACTCCAGTAGTAACTGGAGAATGAATTCCTGTTTGGAATTTTCAGATCACATCCCCCTAGAAGAGAATCCAGGAGGCCCATCTGCCCCCACGGGTTGGCCTGAAGGCCAGATGCTGGAGAATATGTAGGGAAGGACAGAAGATGCCCAGGTCATCTGAGGAAAGGGGTGGGGCTAGTGGCCTGATGGGATGGGTCCTTTTCTTCACCACTGAACATATCTCAGTCCTGAGCCTGCCCCCTCCACTTTGTTGACACCTAGGCTGAGCCTACCCACTACGTAGCCACAGCCTGCTGAAATAAGCAAAGGTGTTTCCCTTCTGCTCACAGTGGAATATAATGTCATGGCTTCTCCTCTAACCATCTATTCCTAAGACAAGCCCTGCCACCTCTCCCAAAAGGAGGGTGGAGACAAGAGTATTTAAAATCCCGTTTAAGAAACAGACCAGGATGTGCTGGAGACTATATGGTACAGAGTGCTTGCCTAGCCACCACCTTTCTCAGGACCAGGTGGTGGGGTAATCCTCTCTGCCTGTTTCCAAACCCTGTCCAGCCACAGTTTCTCCTAGATTCTGTGGGGTCTGACCCTGCCTGCACCGGGAATGCCCCCTCTAATGAGCCACACCATCTTCTCTCATTTTCAGTTATGCACAACAAAAGATACGGTTACACAAAAATGATGGGGTAGGGGCACAATCTGTACCCAAAAGAACTGAAATTTGACTCAGTGGTTTCAATTCTACTCAGAGATCGGGTGTTTATTCCTTCTGGCACCTAGCCAGTTGGGTTACTGTAATGAGTATGAGTGAGATCCTGCCCCCAAACTGCTGGTGGGCTAAGAAATAAGAAATTAAGAAATCTACACTTTAAAGCTGGACTTTGAGAACTCATTGTGTAAGAGGTAATGACAAAAACCACAGGACACAAGATACTGTCCTGCCTTCCACAAGCTTACATACACAGTAGGAGACAGATAAAAATGTACAATATTTCAGATTATGTAAGGGCTACTAAGCAAACAGAATGTGGTACCAAAGAGCAACTGAGAAACAAGTAGGGCCTACTTGACAGAGTATCTTTGCAAAAATCCCCTCCCTATAGGATGTTTATTCTGAGTCTTTGGACTGATTTCCATGCCTTCCCACAGCACAGGGGAAACCCGGGAGTATATTTAAGGAACAGATAGAGCAATGTAAGGGACCTATGTTGGGAGGGAACACAGCTTATGGGTATGGGATCCTTTACAGGATTTAAAGAGGCAGATGTGCTTCTATGTGAATGTCCAGATCCCTGAGGCTGCCCCCAAGGAAAGCAGAATGTGGTCATCACCTAGGCAATGGAAGTGGAGTGGGTGGATTTGCAGATTTGGGAGGGACAGATAAAAATCTTGGCAGGAAGAGAAATGCAGAATTCCTATCATGCTAACACTATGATCTCTAATCCCTGGGGCAGTCACAGCCAGGGGCAGGCATGAAGCAGCAGCCCTAGATCTGAGCTGGGGGAGCTGGAGGAATCCACGGGGCAGAGGGAAAGGGCACTTTCATTCGCAAAGGGCAAAGGAAAGGGATGATACCCAGGCAGCCTCACTGATAATACAAGGGCTTACCAAACTCCCTTCTCCTTCACCCCGAGCACCAGCATGGAAGAGTCTAGACGTGATGTAATGGAAGCCCTGGATGTGATGAAAAGTAGACTAAATGCTATGGAAGCCCAACACTGACGATGGGACTGGCTGCAAAGGCACAGAAAATGTGCTGGCCGCCATAAGGAAAGGAAAATTCCAAGAGGACTGGAAAAGTAGCAGCTGCGCCGCACAACAGAATATGCCTACGGCACAGATGTGTACACATTCTTACACACACACACACACACACACACCCTCCCCCCCTGGAATTCTAATCTCCAGTCACCAGAAACCCGACCCCCACGTACATCCCAGTTAATAGTGGTCCACTACAAAACCCCCACCATCCTCAAAGAACGCAGTCCTGGAGGCCTCCTTGATGACACCCAGTCCCAGCAACACTAGCCAAACTTCCCGGTAAACCACCTAGTCTTCCAGGCAGGGTAACAGTAAGGCTGAACAATTGGTGCAATCTCATTAAATCTGCACAATAGTTTAGAAGTTGTCCAACTGGTTTAATCTCATTAAATCCGCATAATAGCTTAAAATGTTATAAAGTACCCACAGGGTTTTTAAAGAGTGATTTCACATGAAATTCTGAAAGTATGGCTCCTCTAGAAAACACTCGACTTTTAATAGTACACACTATCTCCAGGTTTTATTCAAGTACTTTAATGTCTTCACTCTTCCTAGCTCTATGTATTTTGACATGTTGTTTTTGTCTCACATGGCCAGCCCACTGGATTTTTCTTCCACTAAATTCAGTTTATGATTTCCAGTCTCAATGTCAAGTCTCCAAGTAACACTAGCTGTTTTAGACTCCAGAGCTAGCTAGTGGGGGAAACAAAACTCCTCCTTAGCTTCAGCCATAACCAGAACCACAAGTTTCCCAGGCGGAGGAGCTACACTCTTGTGCCAAGCCCCTAGGCTGCTAAGGACAGCCCTGGAGTAGAGACAAGGTCACCTCAGCCAGTAGTACTGCAGCAAAGGGTGAGGCCCAAACCTCAGAACTGGTCATCCTAATTGCATCTTACTCAGCCTCTACACAGGGTCAGGCTATTCCAGAGAAATAGCTGGTCTTTGTCCCTTGTCCCGTGGTATAATGTGTACCCTTTGGTTTACTTCTCATAATAAATGCTGGCCCTGAATGAGCAGTGGCCTACATGCATGTCAGTTGTACAGGATGCCCACATGCACACAACACGTCCTGCTCCACAGTGACTCCCCAGACTCCCCGCTTCCCATTCTACTATCACTGGCCTTTTTACGTCCTGTACTGTGTTGTAATGCCCGATCCCTTTCACCTTCCTCCAACTCATCCTTCCAGTTTTCCCCAGGAATCTCTAATGGAACTAAGTCCTTAGAACAGTGGTTCTCAATCCCTTTGGAGGTTCAACAGCTTTTTCACAGGGGTCTCATATCAAATGTTTACAATTTCTAACAGCAGCAAAATTATAGTTATGAGATAGCAACAAAATTATGATGGTTGGGGTCACCACAACATGAGGAACTGTATTAAATGGTTGCAGCACTGGCTTGGAGCTCCCACCACAACCCACAGGATGAAGTCACGAGCGGCATTCAAGCTCCCCTACACATCCCAGCTTCTTCTCCCTCATCCTTACCATCCTCACTAGTCTATCCGTCTCTCACTCCAGTTCACTACTCAATTCCACGCCTTCCATCTATCTGGGAAGTCCATGAAGCTGCAAACATCCTTCAGCAGTTCTAAGTCAATAGCTGGAACTCTATTCTCAGTCCTAGATCAATGCTATCCACTGTCACAGCTTCTACATGTATGATGGTGATGGCCTGTCCAAATGTGTGTGCACATGAGTTTGTGTGTGTGTGTGTGTATACGTTAAGTATAGAATGTTCACAGGATTTGAAGGACATAGTAATACCCCAAAGTACCTTCATTTTCTATACTAATTTCACATTAAAATGATACAAATATTAAGTAAAATGTGTTAGCTAGATACAGTGGAATAAAAATATATTAATTATACTATTTTAAGACAGCTGGATTACCTACTAAAAAATTAAATTAATGTAGATTACTTACACTGAATTTCCATTGTATAGAGAGCTATTCTGTATTGCTGAGACTTCACTTATATTTCCATTTCTTTAGTCAACAAACACAATCCCTGACTTGAAGCTCTGTAGCTCTGTCCGGTGCGAGGAATGAGGGTGGGGCTTCATTCCAGCTATGGCTTGCAAACATAGAGCAAGTATAAATGGCTATGTAATATTGAATACTCAAGACAAATGCTCAACACTAATGCCATCCTTGGGGTTTCTCCTCTTCAGGTCCTCCCTAAGATGACATCACATGTGGTAAATGAGATTGACAACATTCTGCGCAACAAGCCCTACAGCAAGAAGGACTATAGATCCTAAGGCAGTGCATGAGCCACAGAACCTGCATGGGTACAATCATGGTGGGTAGGCAGTGCAGAAAGACCTTACTAGACACTTTTCCATCACTTAGCAGCTTGCTGCTCAACCTCTGGTGTCCCAGGATTCTCTGAGGTTTCTGCTGTTGCTACCACTGTGCACCCTGAATTCTGAACACATGAAAAGTCACAGCCCAGAAAACCCATTCTATTTTCTTATCTTGAACTGGTCCCCGATCCTTGCATTGCTCTATGCACCTCATGCTTCTGCAATGGAAGGAAGATTAGAATAGGGGGATCTATTATCTTCAGACATTCGTAACTTAAAGAAGGCTGTACATATCTATTTTTTTTCAAAAGAGCAAAAATCACAGAACAGAACAGAATGTGAGCTACAGAGGAAACAGGATATCCTCACTCTTTAGTCTTGCCTGGGAGAACAAACAGAACTAACTTATGTATTTTTTCGTATTTCATATTCACATTAGTAAGTTTTAAGTCACCTGTCACTCTAAATTTTCTAGGTACTTGCTTTCACTATCATTGAAGTTGCTTGTTGTTGCTTGGCCCTGTACAGTTTATCTGGGGTACCTGTTAGGATTCTAACGTGTCTATTTACACATAGAGGTATAGAAGTATGAATACCCCATCTTTACTAGATACATAATAGCTAATTTATAAAAGGGTTACAATGCTATGGAAACAGCTTTGAATATTGTGTTCACTTTTTACATTTTATTAAAGCCTGCATATACTTTCAGTCGCTTGTAGGCACATCTGCAAATTTAAGTATCTGAGATTTAAAAATACACACATGCTCAGATTTTTTAATTAAACCTATAAATACCGAGAAAGGCAAGTGTCCAGTTTACCACTGGGGCATTACAATATACGGCTTGGTATTTTCTGAGGAGTTATTAACATGAAAAGCAAAGCATAAGCAATGTAAAAAAAAAATGCTGTCATTCCTCAGCACATTCTGGGTGAATTAACTTGCCCAGAGAAAAAGCAAAATATTCAAAAAGCTCCTGATTTTAATCACACACTACGTTGTATGCATGAGAGCTCTTTGCATGAAATAAGGGGCTCAGCTTTGTGCTCAGAATCTGAGATACACCCGGTCTACTCTACTCCACCTCACTGCATCCCACCTGAGAAAAGCTGTAAGGCTACACGGGATGGACACCTGCAAATAAGGAGAAATCACAGGATGTGTGTTTCTTTCTTTTCTGTAAAGGTGGGGTCATTTTCTAACTCCATTTGTCCATCTGTCGATGGACAAAATTCTACTTTACCTCTCAGCAAGTTCTCCATCACTTTAAAATCTACACAAGAAATACATGAACTTAAAATCATTTTCAGGTATTTATCACATGGCTAAGTTCTATATCTTAAACTAACAGGGAAAGATACCAACAAATACATGATTGTTATTACCTAGAGTCTAATAGGCAATTTGGAAGTCTGCCCATGAGTATGTGACTAATGATGGAGATGAACTTTCCAGCTATTCATTGTAAATTTAATCCACTGAACTACTTACTGTATGTATAAGTGAGTGGAGTGCTGTCTAAAGGAAATTCAATTCATTTGCTTAGAGTAATAAAGGCATCTGTGCAATCCCATAATAGATCTTTTGGGTCTTTCATTATAAGGCTTAAGATACATACATTTTCTTGTATATAAAATACAAATGTCACCATGAAATAAATAATAATCATCTAAATGAATTAAATCAGCAGCTATCCTGCACTGAATGCTTAACTGAAGTCACAGGGACCAAAACAGGCTGAAGTGAGGAAGGGTGGTACACACTCTTACTCCCAGTTCTCGGGAGGCAGAGTCAGAAGGATCAAGAGTTCAACTTGAGCTACATTAGACCATCTCTCAACCATCCCCATTCCCACAAAAGACAGAAACAAACAAATCTGCACTGCAAGCCTTGAGTGCTGGCGCACACACCTGTAGTAAAGCACTTGACCGGCGGCAGGAGGACTTAGGCTTCTGGCCAGCTGGGGCTGCACCTAGAAGACAACTGCCAACATTTCTGCACAAGCTTCTTCCTTTTCAATACGTGTGGTGTGCGGACACACATACAATAATCCGTGCACGCACACACAGAGACAAATAAAACTTAAAAAAAAAATGAATTAAAGACCCACCCAAACTCCTAAGAACTACCCTGTTTGAGACTCTAAAGATAGGACATAAACTTGTTGAAATTCTCCGTATGTGCACATGTGTACATACAAACAAATCCTCTCTTAGTGTCCCCAGACACAGCAATGCCTGGTAGGCAAAAAAGTCACGTGAACAGGAGAGTGCAGTGGGCACACATCAGCAGCACACTACGGCAGGGACCTGACATCTTTAACTTTAACTGTGTTGTGCCTGTCACTACCTCACAGGCAAGTGAGCAGTAACTTCAGTTCATTTACATAGAAAAGACGGTTAATATAAAACATGTAATAAAGACACTCAACATGGTTCACATAAAGAACTGCAGAAAAAACACATTTTTAAAAACAGTTTAATCATACTTGTTAAAAACAAGGCTTTTGTAAGAATGTTGAGTATAAATTCAACTTCCGTTATTTCAATTAACTTCAAATCCTGTTTCAAAGTATTCTTCTCAAGTTCAAACAATATACCAAACAATACAAGTTGTAAATTTAGATACAAGACTTATTAAGCAATGAATAAATCAAGAAATGAAAATGCTTAACACTAATACTCTACCTATCACAGATACGGGAAAAAAAAAAAAGCAAGCACTTTGAGTGTCCTGTTTTACTGGTGTTACATAGGGGGTCCTTTAAAACAGAAACTCTGCCTTAGGATTTTACTGTCTATGTGTGTCTAACTCAGCACTTCATAATTCTATTTGCCACATTCGACTATGGAGAATAGACTAGGGAACAGGACCCACATTTCGAAGTGTGAAGGATGCAGACATTAAATCCTTTTAGGGAGCTGATGATCTATCTATCTGGCTATGACTTTGTACACAAAAATTTATCTGGGGGCACAGAGACAAAGGATATTTTGAAAGTTAAAAGCAAAGACAGCTGTAGGAAGCATTCAAGGCAGAAAAAAAACTGCACAATTATTCTCCCAGCAAAATTTGGTTACTAATTAAAGAGAACTAAAAATTTGAGGCTGGCACCGCTGTTTCACCATTCCTGAACTGCTAACAATGTTGTCAAATAATGGTGATTTTCTTCCCATCTACATAGGCACTGCCACCTAGTGGCAAGCTCGAAGCAGTACCTTAGAAGGAGCTTGATGTTGCACCCAATTATTTTATTAGATAAACACCCTGCACACAAACTGTCATCAGCCAAATACTGATTAAAATAGAAAAACGAAACACCCCACCTCATGTGTGTTACCTAAATACACTCTGCACTGAATCTCTTCTCATCTCCTATTCATTCTACACTACCTGGTGATGGCACTCAGATAACAATGCACCACAACCAAGAGCTGAACAAGTCCAGAAGCATGATAAATGATTTTCAATACAATGAGAAGGTGACTATATAAAGACACTCCTCCAGGCTTCCTAAGTTCTTAATGCAGACTACTGAAACTTCATCTACCAGCACAAAAATAGCTCAACTCTTGGTAAATACATCTTTAAAGTTACAAATAGTATCGTATGTTCCTCTTAAGTTTATAGGTAGAAACCAAAGATTAGGAATATTTTCCTTTGAGGTGCCATTTATAGGAAGTGCCCAGGTATGGTGAACTATAAATAGAAATATGAAGTCAGTGACCCTAAGTGTAAAGTTATGCAAATCTGGAAACCACGGAACATGCAATCTGTACATGTTGTAGGGTGGGGGACACGATGTGAGGCTGATCTTCTGCTAGACCCCAAAACCTGTGATCAGAGTTTGCTCATAATTGACAGAAACCCTGGGCAAAAGGGGACAAATTTATTAAAGTCCTCATAGGAAAATGTTGACACTCCTTTTAAACCACTGTAAATTCCTTGGAGAGGTCACTGTATTCCAGGGCTAAGTTCACAAAAAAAGTCTTTTGGTCTCTCAAGTGTCAATAATCAGGAAAGAAGTGCTTTCTCACTTAGGACTCTGCCTGCGGTGCTGAGAGCCTGCTCACAGAAAACAGTGATCCCAGTGACTTCACACATCAAACCAAGAAGGCAGGGTCAAGCTGACCTCCCTGGCCGCCCAGGGCCACAGTCATACCGCCGAACAGTGTGTGCTTTAGTTTCACAGGCCAACACTCATAGCCGGGCACTATTTTTAGGTTACTACCTTGGCTGCCTTTCTTTATTTGAAAAAAAAAAAAAAAAAAACAACTCTAAGGTTCTCTCCATTGAAGTGGAGAGGCCATGTGTTTGAGTTCTAAATTACAAACTCAGAGACTTCTGTTTAATCCCTTGGGAAGAGGATTCACTCTGAGATTTACAGTCAAAAGTTGTAATATTGTGCTTGGAACACAGAGAACCAGCTATTAACTTCTTCCTCCAATTATAAATAATAACAGCTCAGCCCAGGTTACCATGACCTCTGACAGTTGTAGGAAACAAGTTATTTTCTTCTCTTGTGATTACAGCACATTGCAAGACTTCTTGCCTTTTAATAAATGTCCTGGTACTCTGAGTTTCCCTTTCAATTCATTTAATTTCAACAATCTGTCAAAAAGAACCAATAAACAAACACTAAATTACATTTCTATTGCATTTTTATCCCTCAAACTCTAGACTATAAAAACACCTTGTGTGTCTCCCAACCTGGCCACCCTGATACTTTTCCATACACCACAGACCACCCATAGATACAAAGGCAGGGGCCAAGCTACAGGGTCTACTTGGAGCCAGTGGAGAGGAGGGCGATGAGTCCAGATGAAGCACTTATGGACAAAATGTAGTTCCTGCAGAAATAAGGTTAAGGAAAAAGAGAGACCTCCAAATTAGTTTTCAACAATAAAAGAGCTTTTCCTTATTGACACAAGTATGTGCATGTAGTTTCACTGTCTGTAAACACAACTTACGATATGGAAGGCTATAAAGCATGAAAAATACTCACAAGCAATGTTTCAATACTGAAAAAGACACTTGAGTCAAATTAGAAGTAACAATCACAAAGAACACATCCTGGTTCCACTTAAGCCCTCATGAGAAGAGCTGGCCAAAGAACATCAGACACCAAACAGTAAAGGAGACAAATCCTCATGTCAGAGTCCTGCCACAGTTGGTCTATAAGGGAAGAAGGTTCAGAAAGTTCATGTTATTTGCAGCCTCTTTGAGCAAGCCACTTTGGGGCCATTCTGGCAAGGCCCACCGGTATTCCCAAAAGACACGAGTTGGAAGGTGTCTGATGTTTTATTACACCATAACCTCTGATTGTTAAAAGTCTGGCTACAATTTCCTGGATAACACCTTTAATAAAAGACAAATGACGCTTGACCAAAGCTCAATTTCAAAGCATCCTGAAAATTGAATATATAAAATGTGCCTGCCATTTGTAACTCCCCTGGCCATGCACCATGCACCTAACCCACAAGGCTAGCAGATGCGCACAATGGAACTACTGAAGACAGTCTACTTCCTGACTCTGATTCCTTTCAGGTAAGTACACAAAGTCACACACATAATATACGACTGTTCTGTCATACTGGCTACTTACATAAAACTAACTTACAGACTTAAAAAACACTAAGTCAAGCCAGAAACTTTTAGTTCTAAGTCCACAGACACCTGCCTAAAGTTATACTACTTAACTGACAAGTTTTTGTTTCCACTAACATACCAGAAAGCTTAAAAATAAAGCAAACTACTACTTATAGGGTTCTGAGAACTTTTAAAAGGATACACTGTGGGGTTGAAGTTCTTCAGTATAAAGAAGGAAGCAACAATGACCAGAACCAGGAACAGAGTGTTGTTATAGAAGATGGAAAATGTTGTGGCTTCATAATCGGCAACTTCATTCTTCTTCCACAAGATTCTATAGATGCAAAAACAGGTCAAACAAGTTTATAAATATGACCAAAAACTTTAAATACAAAGTGGTTCTCATTTATTACAAGGCAAGTTTTCCTTGCTTTCAAGGGTGAGAATGCATTTGCAGTATTAAATTTAGAGCAAATTATTTCCTTTCTTCCACTGAATTCTGTTTTCCCTGTTGATGTTAAATAACAGTTACTGGGCGTGTTACTATTTTCCTAAACCGTCAACACTACAGCAGAAGGGGATGATATTCATTGCAACTGGCAAGATTTTATAAGTATCTAAAATAGATGTCTTTGTTTAAAAGTCCCAGAAAGGGAGTGCCCACCCTAGAGCCTGTGGACCAGCCACACATTTCTCAGGACTGCCATGGATGTGGCCTAACACAAATATTAGATGATGTCATATCACAGGCCAAAGGGTGACTTTAGCTTCTCTGGCTGCATCCTAGCTTAAGGATCTCTAATCTAAGGGCTTCAGCCTTTCGTTTTGCACCTTAAAGGGGTAACGACAAGAACAAAGCTAGCCACGATCTCACCAGGTCTATCTTCGGCTTTCTTTACTAAATGTGAAAGAGGAATCAACATGATTTTTAGGATAGTATTTCTAACTTCTATAAAATTCTTATAGAATCTGTTTCAATTGCTCCCATATT